AACACAATATTTGGCCTACATTGAAATTATACCAATTTATACTTCAGAGATTTAACTTAAGTGGTGGGGTAAGTTAAAATACTGGCTCAATTTACCCAAATGCATTTGGCTCACTTTACCCCACAGCTGTCATTTTGGACAAAACTAGTTATGTCAATTCAGATTAATATTTAAACGATTTGCATGGTTTTAAACGTTGCTAAATCACCAACATCATAAATATTTTTTACATTTCATTTGATGTAAAAGCCATTACATGTGGTATGCTAAAATTGTACGTTGACAAGCCAAAAACAGTTTTTAAAGTAGGCTAAAGGATTTCCTTCCACTCCTCCGATGTGTTTCTCTTTTTCACAGTCTGGCAGAAATGATGGGTGGTTCTGGTCACATGACAATTAAAGTGTACGGTTGTCAAGATAAAAGGGGGTGGGTCCATTTACCCACTGGCTCATCTTACCCCACTCTCCCTTAGTCCCCTACATTTTAATCTCCATTACTGAGGAGAGGTGGTTCTTCTGCAAACTAGTGCGTCATTTTTTTTTGTTTTGTGTCAACGGCCGCGTAGATTTTCTTCGACTGATTTTTGATTGCACTGAATCGAGGAAGGACATATAGGCTAATACAATAATATAATGACATTTTTATATACCGTTTTATGTGTTGCCATTATAGTATTTTAATATTATAATGTTGCAACGGGGTTGATTTGAAACCTCAATAAAGACAAATGACTAACCACAACCATAATATCAACCAGTGCGCTTGCTACAGACATTGCCAGCCACATCATAGCACAAAATAATAATAATTAAAAAAAAAAAAACATATCCGTGTTTTATCTATGATTGAAACGGATAAATAGATCTCGCACACATTTTGAATACTTATTTTCCTATTCGTTTATTGTCAGCGACCAAAATGGCCATTTTATTGCATTCTGGGGGAACGCAGTGGGCGTCCGCTTTGAAATTATCCTGTGTTGCAATGGTGATGTTTTTGGGTAAGTAAAAAATGCTTCTGTTATGGAAAAAATAAATAAATAAGCCCATCATTAAAATGATCATTTGACATTTTAACGATTTCATTGTAGCCTACCAGCCAAACAGATGTGATTTCAGTCATGTTTCCCTGCCTTGGCTAGAGCCTTTTTATTAATATTATGCGTTTTAAGAATCCATGCAAATAAAATGAGGTGTAGGACATAGGCTATGTTATTATAGCGTTTGATGGTGATTATTATTGCAGATTAATTGTCTCCCTCAGCATTAGCCTATCTGCGTTTTATCGTGATGCCATTTAGATAAATGCGATCTAAATGCGCCCATTTGTGGTCGCATTTAGATCAGATTATGAAACGCTAGGTCATAATCGTTTTCCAGTTTAATGTCAAACAATAGTAAACAGCACTTCCGTTTTTCTCCAGACCACCAGATTTGATGACATTAATCATTGCTGCGTTTTTAATGTTCTGTTAAGCATACAATTCCGTGTCATATTAATGATATCTACAATCCACACTGTTTGTATCACGCTTGTTTATATTTTCCAGTAAATCTTTCTTCAGTTTACATCGTTGAACCAGTAGGAGGCGACAAGTGAATGTCAGTCAGTCATAGACTCTTGAACTCAAATGGTTACAAACAATGACTAAAGCAGCAACGATGACAAAACTAGTTTACTTTTGCTTCAATTGTTATACCATTTTTGTTGACGACGCAAAAAATACATAGCCTAAATAAATAACTGGTGATATTGTAAGATAAAATTGAGAGTGGGAGAAAAAGTGGATGTCACATTTGTCACAAATGGTCACGGAATATAACATTTGAAGATGAGGAACAGCAAAATATGCACTGTAAAAAAAATCATGATTTGTAATCACAACATTTTTCTTTTGTCAAATCAACTTAAATGATTTATGTGGTTCAGATAACATGATATTTTGAGTTTCTGATGATTAAATTAATCTCCTTTGTTGTATTAACTCAATTTTTCCATTTCAATGAACTTAGAATTTGAAGGCAACCAGGTTAGCCTACTTCCTTTTTTAAGTTAAACCAACAATATTGCAGGCAATACTGCAGGTTGAGGAAAGGGGCCTTAAAGGGATAATTCACCAAAAAATGTTATCTTTACATACTCACCCGCAAGTTGTTCCCAAACCTGTATTCGTTTCTTTCTTACTAACACAAAATAAGATATTTTTAAGAATGTTGGAAACCAGACATGGTTGACTAATTGGCATAGTATATTTTTTTCTATGGAAGTCAATGGGTGCTGTCAACTGTCTGGTTACCAACATTCCTTAAAATATCATATTTTGTGTTCAACAGAAGAAAGAAACGAGTACAGGTTTGGAACGACGTGAGGATGAGTAAGGGTAAGTTTGAGCTATCCCTTTAATGGAGAGAAGCAATATTGAACAGACATTCCACATTGTAAACAACATGTTATACAAGGTGCTTCAGAGCAAACCAATTCATTAAGAGAAAATGTTTTAAAGAGACTCTGCAAGCTAAAATAATGAAAATCATAAACAATCATAAATGAACAATGTGTGTGTTCTGGTTGTGAATAGATTTACTGCTACAGATGTGGTCTCATGGGACAGCTGCTGTTGAACGATACATGAGGATTATTAATTTCAACAGAAGGCATAAAGTATGCCCTACTTTCTTCTGCTTAATCCATGTGGTATAGTCCACATTATTTTTTAATTCATTAAAGTTTTATACTGAATTATGGCTCATTGTACTGTAGGCTTAATATAAAGGAAAAAGAGCTGCACACACACCGAAAGAGTATTCTTAAAACGAATGACTGGGGAAGTTGCGTTCAAGTTCAAGTGAATACAGTGCAGTTTTTCTTGAAAGTCACCAGAGGGCAGAAAACACAGCATTTCACTGACAGAAGATGAACATGAGATAGAATTATTTAGAATAAAACCAAGTTTCACTAAACTATCTCCAAAAATCCCATCCTTAATGATTTAATGAGGTTAAAAGACAAGCATATTTTGTTATTTATTTATTGATCCATTGCAATAGTATTCATAAATGTGGCTTACGTATGCTTATTTTAGGACATTAGATGTATTTTTATAAATATTAAAGCATGGATATTCTCAACTTTCATGATCTAGTCTAGAGCACAGTGAATTCCTTTGGCAAAATTATTTGCACACCAATACCTCATTCAGTATACAGATGAATTGCAGGAATATTTGTGTGGCATCCTATTCTACTGGAGTATGAGGTTAATAATACATTTCAATCAGCTTTCTCAAAAAATACTGAATTATTCCGCTAGCCCCAAAAGCTATTGAACTCAATTTCACTATAGAAACCTCTTCGACTTCAGTATAAAGGTAGACTACTGCTCAAAAGTTGTTTTTAGGCTATAAATTGCATAAAACAATTACAGTAAAGACATTGTTACAAACAAAAATCGACTGGAGTAATGATGCTGAAAATACAGCTTTGCAATGGAATACAAAATAAGAGATGATTTAAATTGTAATACTTCATAATAGTACTTGTTCCTGTATTTGGATCAAATAAAAATCCTTGGTGAATATAAGATACTTATTTTAAAGAAAAAAAAAAAGTACCATTCCCAAACTTATAAATGCATACAAACTTGAAAGATAAACTATAGAAAATATTGGAGAAAATATACCTAAGAAGACGAGTTTACAATTACATTATTTTAGATTTTTAGTCTTAATTTAAAGGGACAGTTCACTCAAAAATAAAAATGTCAGCATTTACTCATTTCATTCCAAAACTTTTTTTTCTTTCTTCCATGGAACATTGTATGGAGTCCTTTAATGCAATGGTCTCAAGAGCTGTAAACTTGCTCTTTTTGTAAGGAACAGACTAATATTTAAGATTTTGCTTGAGAGTTATGGTCACCATTCACTTTTATTGTATGGAAAATAACTGCTTGGATATTCAGCTATAAATACCTCTATTTGTCTTCAATGAAATAAAAAAGTTACAAGTAAATGATGACAGAATATTTATTTTTGGGTGAACTGTCCCTGAAAATAGTGGATCAATGGATACAATCCATCTGCAGTAACAGTTGTCTAAGCCGAACAAGCTGAACAAGTTAACAAGCTGGTGAAGATCTGTTTCTCTCAGAAATGCAGATGTCTCGCTCTTCTTATTTACTGTGCTAACATACCATGTTCAAAGTTTCGCCCCCAACATTTCAGTCATTAAGCAAAAACTAAAACGTCTAAACAGATTTGTTGCCATAACATTGCTTTTAACAACCCGATACTGAAATAAAAGAGAAATACCACATGAGTGAGTGCAGAGTGATACGAGGAGTACGAAATGTCCTAGTGCTGTTAGACTGTATATCAGCACACCTAAAACTAACATATTAATGTTACAGTTATATACACAATACACTATATGAGTCAAAATCTGCTAATTAAATGTAACAAATCATGTTATAATTTAGAATCTTTTATTGGAAAATGAAACGTCTTATCAAACATTGATAACTGGCTTAATCTTTTAAACAAATAAGAAGATAGGGCTCAAACTACATTTTATAAAAGTCACCTGTAAAGTTTATATATATATATATATATATATATATATATATACGGTATATATATATATATATGGTATATATATATATATATATATATATAGACACTGTAAAAAAAAATATTTTCAAGATTTGTTATCACAACATTTTTTTCTTTTGTCAAATCTACTTAAATAATTTATTTAGTTCAGATAACTTATTATTTTGAGTTTCTGATGATTAAATCAATCTCCTTCATTGTATTAACTCACTTTTTCCAGTTCAATCAACTTAAAATTTTAAGGCAACTAGGTTACTTATTTTTTCAAGTTAAACCAATAATATTTTTTACAGTGTATATATATATATATACGTATATGTGGGGGCTTAATTGAACGAATGCTGGGACTCATCTCAAGATCAATCATTTAACAGTTCATCTATTGCCAAACAAATGAAAAAAAAAAGATCAGTCGAGAATAGAGAATAGAAAATTATTGAAAATATTCAAATCGTCCATCAAAACCAAGACGGTGAACGATGTAAACTAACCTGCCGAAGTTTTTCTGTTGGATTGCTGTTTATTCTCATTAGCATGCAGTGTGAAGAACATTTATACTCACGTGCGTTATGTATTATGCACGTTATTGTCTCTGACAGACAGCATGTTGATGCTACTCAGCCCGCCATTTTCTCCCTGCTCTCGGCAATAGCGTAGTCAAAACATCCGGTAGTGTGGGTTTTCCAAGGAATGCATGTACTCGCTGGAACTCCCCTTCTCGTAAATCCTTCTGTATGTTGTACACGTTATACAGTATTTTTTTTGACAGACATCGATGTTGTAATATTCAAATTATGTGGGTTTGCAAGATAATGTTTATTTGTGTCTTAGCCGGAAAGTATTCAGTCAGTGAAGTGAATCCATTGACTTTGACTTTAACCCTTGTGCATCCTTGTGGACATTTTTGTCCTTTTCAGTTTTGTTTTTTTGACCACTTTGTCTGTGTTAAAGCTAACTGCAAAAAACTTGGCACAGGTGTGTATTTTTATTGGAATTTTACTATTTCACCGTCATTTTCTTAAAAAAAATATTTTTTGCATTAGGTACAAAAAAATACTCCCTCTCAGCCCCTTTTGGACAAAAAAGTCCCCATTGAAATCCATTAAAACTGCCATTTTTAATCCCCGGTTCAGTTAACTATAAAATTATGCAATCTTTGTTAAGAGGCTTTCATTCTGATGGCAAGGCTTCAAAATTTTATTTTTTACTATTTTTTATCAGATGGTGTCATTTTTTTTTAAGTTTGGCCTATCAAACAAATGTCGCTTTATTCGTGTTTTCTGGTTCGGCATACTATAGAGCCAACTGGATAAATTGTGCAACGATATTTGTGTCGGTGTGTTGGTATGGATGTCAGAGTGTGGTTAGTATGTGTGTTATTAAAAAATATGTGTGTGTGTGCGCATGTGTGTGTTTGGAATTTGCAGTTTTTCTCTCTCAGTCTGACAATCCAATCCATGTGAGCTCCAGTGGGGTTTTGCTGGGACCCAATGGGGAAAATATGTTACTACGCCCAAACAAACTGTTACCGAAAGCTCATTTTTTGAGATATCATCCTCAAATTTGGAACACAACCTATTTAGATTTGTGGCTTTGATTTTATTGTAGTTTTGAGTTCAACCTGATTTAAAAAATATATACTTTATTTAAAATATTATTTTATAAATAATTTTCATAAACTTATACCTATATAACTTTTTTTGGATTTACTTATTATTATTATTTTACTTCAGCAATAATCTGCAAAGGGTCTTCTTTAAAATGATACCAAACTTAAGTCTGTGCTCCAAAGCGTCACATTTTTATGACAGTTTTTTGACATGGACATTTTTGTCCTCTTTTTACCTATGTGTAACTTTTTTTAATTGATGCTCAAGGGTTAATCAAATAATGAGTGTTTTTTTATGCACAAAGTTGTTTGTATTGTCTCTTATAACATTTTTTTTTTATTTAAACCCTTGAAAATCCAAATCCTGTTGTAAATAATAGTGAAAAATCACTTTTTCAAATAGATGTTCCATTATTTCCCCTTAGCAGATTTTGACTTTGAAATATATATTAAAGGGGTGATGAACTGAGAAATCAAATTTTCCTTGAGCTTTTGACATCTAAGAGGTCATCATATAAGAATATCCTGTAAGTTTCAGAACTGAAAACGTCCTTGTTAGTCCAATAAAAGCTTTTATTGACACCAGGCTCAGCAAACGACTCGTTTTTTAAAGTGGGGAACTATGACGTCAGAGAGGATAAAACACCACCCCTGCAGAAGAAGATCAACACGACGGTTTAGCCCGATTCGCGCATTACATGCATAGCTAAATAACATAGGCATACCTCGTGATGACAAACCGGATCGACAGTGAAACTCATTATAATATGCAAAACTGTTATCCACTCACAGCAGTGGGCGTTTACTTCCACGTCTTTAATGCGAGACGCCCATAAAAACGAGCGTTTTTGAGCTGAGCTCAAAACTAGGGTAGAAAATAGCCTATTACTTATTCATTTTGATGTTTTTTAATGTAAAAACCAAGCGAACGTCATAAGTTGACCTCAAACAACAATATAAAAAAAATGTAAAAATCCAGTTCATGACCCCTTTAAAATGTTATTATATAATTATTGTTATTTGTTTGTGCATATACAGCTGCGCAATGTACCTTGTACACATTTCTCCTTTAACCATAACCTTGAGAGCAGATAAAAGAGGACAGACAGCGCAGGGAGGGTGTAGGGATGGGGTTTGTCAGGGACTGTTGTGAGAGAGGGCGAGCGAGAGCTACACTGCAGTATTTTATGCCTACAGCACTCTGAACCGGTGAATATTGATACATGCATCAAATCGGTTCTCCAAGAGTGGGCTGGAGACATCAGCAGTAGTGAGACCCCATATTTTCATGCTCATATAAACCCAAACAGTCACGTAAAAGAGTTTACCGATACATTGTAGCTTTTTAACGACAACAGTTGGACTATTATTTATTCAAATGCATGAATTCAGTGATTAAATGTGCATGGGGAACGTGAAGTAGTTCTGAAGCGCCTCTGCTGTAGCGCAGAGAGAAAACGACTAAATATACATGAAAGTAAAAGGGTGGGTGGGGACGACATTGACGTAGTGCCGGTGTTGAGTAACACACCCGGCCGAGTGCTGACTCTGCGTGTGTGTGTATATTTATGCTGTGCGTGTGTTTATTACAGCACACACTGAAAGCACAAGTAGGAGACTGCAGCATTAGTAGCACAAAACACTATGTATAATGAATCCTTGTATATCTGTATAGTTCAAATGTTGCTTTGTAGGCACTCTGAATATAGCGCACTATAAATCACTGTGATTACTGGAGGTATTCGTGTTCTCCAGAACACAGCTGCTGTAGTTCTTGCTCTCTATACGTGAGGACACCTGATTTTTCGAGAGGGAGGGGGGCGGACTAAACTGCAGCACTTTGAGGGGGTGGGGATGGGATGGGATGGGATGGGGTGGGAGGGTGTGACGAAGTTGCTGCTACTACTGCAGAGAGCCGGGCCGATAAAGCATAACTGCTGCAGCAATGGGAACTTGTCCAGAACTTGGTGCAGAATGGTGTCCATTTGCCAGAATTGTCCAAATGGTGCAGAGGTGGAGAAAGTAAACCTTACTGATTGACAAAATTATTACATTTTGGCTGTTGATTTAATACAAATAATGTCACCCAGTGTAAGCTTAATGCAGATATAAAGACTTTCCCATGTTTTCTACACACATGTCCCACTTTTCCACCATCAGGCCAAACCGTTCTTATAGCCTAACCATTCCATTCTGTGCCGATTCCAACTTATTTTGGAAGTTTAAAGAACAGCTTTTTTAACGGTTGGCGATAACATTTTAACTCATAGTTAAATGGATGACTTTAAATTCATTTCAGTGACTTTAGATGACAAAAAAAACAAAAATGTGGACCAATCAGATGACAGGAAAATCAAAAGCGAGGAATTATACATGTCTATATATTTACATATCTTGTAGCCTGTCCAGTGACTTCCATGGATGTGCTGGTGCAACAACAGATCAACGCTCTCAACGGAACTGATGTCAGAATCCCGTGTGCATTCACCTCATGCTACAAGCTGGACCCCAAGCATTTTGCCATGAACTGGACCTATCAGGAGACACTCAACAGCACAGAGGAGATGGTGAGTTAAAATAAGAGACTTAAAATGTTAAATATCATCAAAATGTTAGCCCCTTTCACACATAGAGTCTTTATTGGTAAAGAGATCATGTGTGAATCGACCTTTTAAAAAATACCGGTAAATTGGTTCCAGTAATTTACTGTTAAGGGAAGTTGTAACACTACCAGTAAATTACCAGTAATGTGTTCTGTGTGAATGACGGTATGAGATCACGTACAATGTCAGAACGTGCTGACGTAAGAAGTCTGATTTGGGCCAATCATATAATGCGATTACTCAGCACTGTTTACAGTAAGCTTTTTAATAGTTTTTTCTTTTTGAATGATCATCTTTGACTGCTGTGCCACATCTCTCAGCTTTTTCAACGTGTCGTGCTCGAGACCCCGCCTTCTTTTCCATTCATCAGTATTATGCGTGTCTCGTGTTTTTAAGATAAAATTGAATAGATGGTGAAACGAAAGCAGATAGCTATTGCTTGTGTGAACAGCTTGTGTATTTAAGTCATGTTGGCAATTTTACGGTAATTTACTGGGATTGTTGTGTGAAAGGGGCTATTGAAATATCAACATTTGCAGAAATATAAGAGTTAGATGATTCTTTTGTTTCATCACTTTTCTCAATCTACCTTCAATTTCTTCTTTTCCAAGTTCATGACCTATAAGAACAGGATAACACCCCTGAAGCCAAGCCGATTTGGAGAGCGAGCTATTTTTTCTGGAAACCTAGATAAGAATGACCTCAGCATCACTATCTTAGATGTGCAGTTGTCAGACGATGGAATCTACAATTGCTATGTGCGCAACCCTCCAGATCGCATTCAGGGTCACGGCACCATCCAGTTCAACGTCTTGACTGAATGTAAGACTTTAGCATTGGCTAAGATGCTGTACAACAAAAGTTCTGTGTCTTTAACCAGGGTGGCTTCAAGACAGGCCATGATAAATGGGGTTTCATTATTGCAGGTGTTGTTAAGTCCAGGTTTAGGAGTGCTGCAGAGATCGTGTATTTTTGTAGGTCAACCCAGAAATTTGCATTACCCTGGTTCCCTTGACAAAAACCCAATCAGATGTTTCTATTGGCTTTTGGAATATAGAAAATAATCTCTTCAACCAACAAAAAATGTATTATTCGTTTCACAAATTAACACAGATTCTATCCTTTTAAAGCCTAAATGCAACCAGCAGGAGTAAAAAGCTAAACATAGGATATAAACGAACTACACCACGGTTGGATTATTTCAACATCACCATCACTAAGCTCCTAACAACTGTCAGTCTTTAAAGAAATACTAGAAAACGTTAATAACTACTGTCTGCTCTAGCACCACTAATGGTAACATTGAGGATGCAACCAGTACTAAGATTTTGGCCGGTTAGCATAGGCCAGTTAGCCACTGCAGGTAGATGCTGCAACTACTCAATCTTGGCCCAGAAAGATTTTATTTTATTTTTGTACATTATTTTACACAGATTTTCAGAATATACTTTTTCACTGAATAAATATGCCCCTTTGGCGAAGTTTTTTGTTAGCATCTTTTTTCTCTCTCTCTCTCTCTATTTTCCTCTGCCCAGTGCCACCACCAAGGGATTCGACCATCGCTGTCGCCATCGGGGCATCAGTGGGGGGCATTCTTGCTTTGCTCATTCTGTCCATGGTAGTGGTGAAGTGTATTCGTAGACATAAGCACCAGGAGCTGATCTCAGACGAGCAGAAGATGGAAGAAGAGGGCAAAGTAGATGGAGAAGGAGGAACAGAAGAAGCAACAAAGTAAGAATTTTTTCGTCTTCTTTTCTTTCCCAGTATTTGAGTAATTCATCTCTGTAAACAAACTGCTTACTTTGAATCCTGAAACAGACAGCCCTAACCCGCCATCTTAGCCAGGGAGGCCTAACGTAGTGTGGAGCTCCATCCTTCACTTTCTGGTAAAACTGATTGCTAGCTGGTGTGTCTTGGTGGTCATGTGACTGTGGTTGACAGTGGCTTTTTCAAGTTCTCTTTCCATCATTTTTTCATCAGTCTGTCCTTCTCGTTTTTAGGTTGAATTCTGAATTCTCTGGTTGCTACCAGTAGTCTTTCTTTATCTGGGGTGCGTTTCCCGAAAGCATCGTTAGCCAACTATGGTCACATGTTCCGTCGTTATCAGCATAGTTCAACGAGTCGGTGTTTCCCGAAACCATCGTTCCAACGAACATTCGCAAACAGCATCGCAAAGTTGTGTGGTTAGAATGACAGATCTCGACCTGTGGTTAGAAACAGAGTTTATTGGCTTAACTTAAGCAAAATAAGCAAGCTAACATTGCTAACACAGCGTGATGTCATAAACCAATGTGTTTAAACACCACTTTGCGACAATATAGTTTCGGGAAACAGTCGTGAGTACCTAGCTAGTTGATTTCTTCAACGATGCATCGTACTATGGTAGTTAAGCAGCGAGTTACGTCACTGTACGGGAAACGCACCCCTGGTTAGGTTCTGTTGTGTCTTTTTGTGGTGGTTGTTGTCAGTGTTTTTCAGCTAACCAAATAACTGTTCTTGCAATATATATATTCCACTCAATATATATATAAAAATAAACAATAAAATGAAATGAAAAAAAAAAAAATATATATAATATATATATATTGCAAGAGCAGGATTTGTACAGTTATTTGGTTTGCTGAAGTACACTATATATATACAAATACAACAATTCAAGTGAATCATTGAATTAGTATTTTGAACTGCTTAATTGAAAGGATCCACAGAAATGATATTTTCGAACTTTTTGGAAGATTTTGGAAATTTTTCCCGAATTATTATTCTAAACCAAATTCATTGAGACTATCAGATAACAAGATAAAAATCTTGAATTTTGAACTCAACTAATCCCAACTAACGGGATTTTCTTTTCCTTCAAGATTATTAAATATCCTGTTAATAATAAATTCTCACATTTCATTGTCTTTCTTTTACCTTTCAGAAATTTATGCCTCCTGCCTGAAGATATTTAAAACGTGTTCTACTCTTCGTCCTGTAACGTCTCATTCAACATTCCTCGGTTTTCTTGTGTAGCGACCAGACATGTCATGTTAGGAAGATCTCTGCCACAGTGCCATGACGTCCAATCACTGGTGAGAAATCACAAAGGGTTTTATACTGCCTCGTCCACTCAAAATGGCAGGCTAATGTGATAACAGTGTCCTACAGAACTGTTTATTTGGTCAGTATCTCTTTTTTCTTCAACTACTGCCACTATTAGCACTACAAATATTAGCCATCCAGTATTTCTGCTAAGAATTTTCTAAAGGGAGAGTTTTAAATTATACAAAGTCCTGCTTTATTACTGCCAAAGTTACCTTTATGGTGTTTATACATTTTGACAGTTTCTTGAGAAATCACTGCCCTCAACGTCCTCTTTACGTGGATGCAGAAACATAATGTATGTGTATGTGTGTGTGCCTTCTCGTTGTGCAAAATGCTGTGCTGTTTGTACAATCTAGCATGTACTAAAACAGCAAAATATTTAGCAGTGATACTTGAACCTGACCATGACTATCCATTAAAATCTATTTGCTTGTTTATATAACACGCCTCCAAAACATGTACAATCATTGCATGACAATTTTCTTTTTCTTATACACGATACACACTAATTGCACAAAACTAATCATTACTTTGCATAAGCATCTGGCACAATCTATGAATAGAGTACACTTTAGTGTCCCATGACTTTTTAAAAGCATTAAGGCCCTTACACAAAAAGCAGATGGTCGGTCATCGACCAGCATCGGGCCATCGTTGAACGTCAGCTGGCCCAGTTTTGGTGGTGTGTTCTGTACCGTCGGCACTAGTTGGACTTTGTCTGGGGTATTTTGGCCGATTGAGCACGGCATCTTACCTGAGCATTTCGATGCACAAATATTGGCATACCTTGTGCTGCCTGAAATTAAAAAAAGTGATCCGCATGATTGATATTTAATGGAATGTGGCTAATGTTTCCACTTTGAATGACGAATATAGACTATTGATACTTGCTGATGTGAGAAATTGTTTTCTTACACGCATGTGCTGACTGTCGCCTGTAGCCTTTACGTTGTCTTCAAGTCCAGCTTTTTAAGGTGACAACACAGTCGGCTTTCATCGCCGCTAGTTCTTTAAAATCGTCTTGGTGTGTCACAGCCTTTAGACAGTAGCACCTCATTGCTGTACACGAGATCCAGGGGGCGGAGTTGAATCCAAATCTAAGGGTGGAGATGGGCAGGATTAGGGGTGGAGATAGGTATGATTAGGGGTGGGGTTATGGATCAGGGACGGAGATAGGTAGGATTAGGGGTTGGGTTAGGGATCAGGGGCGGAGATGGGTAGGTTTAGGTATATGTAAGGTGGGAAAAGTTGGATCTAGATCCAACTCCTCCCCTTGGATTTCAAGTTCTGCAGTGCAGAACTCCCGTACAACGACGTAGTTCACTGTTTCACTACCATGGTACGATGCATCGTTGGAGAAATCAACTAGCTAGTCACGACTGTTTCCCGAAACCCACTGTCGCAAAGCATAGTTCAATCACGTTGGTTTCGCACGTGGTGGAGTAATAACTACTTTTAATGAAACTGTTTGAGATCCAATTAACGCTAGATTTTTTAATATAAATTAAAGACATGTCATCTGAGGACTATTTCTGATTGTTCAGTTATTTTGCTTTATTACCTGACTCAATATTTGGCTCGTTCTTATATAGTAGAGCACGTTCGCACATGCGCACTCTTCAAACACGGTACTTCAAATCTTTTGAAAAACTAAAAGACGTAAATTGCATTTGTATGTATTCTAAATAAAAGGCACCGGTTGTACTGAATGTCAGCTTGCTTATTTTGCTCAAGATAAGGATTTGTTACATCCAAATGTGCTGCAATATAGAAACGATGGTCGAGATCTGTCGTTCAAACCACACAACTTTGCGAATGTTCGTTGGAACGATGGTTTTAGGGAAACACGGACTCGTTGAACTATGCTGATAACGACGGAACTTGCGATCGTAGTTGGCTAACGATGCTTTTGGGAAACGCACCCCAGATCTCCCTTTAGAGCCACAAATCCCTTTGTGTTTTTGTTATGACCTATTAGAAACTGTATGCTTGTTATTTAATATAAAACTAACATAGCATGAAGAGTGTTTTTTTTTTTTTTTTAAATGGCGATTTTAGTCTGTTCCACCTCAGAGGACTTTCTTGACTATATCTAAAAAATGTAAATCATAGAAGAGTGACATAAATTTAAATATGGACATTTAAGTTTTAACATTTTGCTAATAGTAAAAAATAAGTGAATTTGAAATTCAATTTAAAAAAACATTTTTTCCATTGTAAAAACTAAACGTGCGACATTCCTTGTCAGGCCAAAAAAATAAGCCAAATTGGACCCTTTTACAGCAAGACAGAAATTATGAATAGAAATATATATATATAATCACTCACAATATCCTTTGGAGCGACATGCAGCTTAATTTATGCCAAAATTGAAACCCTAAAATATTTTTTTTAAGTTTCAGGCATTTTGTACCCTATTTATAGAAAATGCCATTTACAAAACAGTGTTTTCACACACAAACATCATCATTTCAGGTGCAACGATTATGTGGTATTTGAAACATTTTGGTGGATACCAAAAAAAACAACTAATTTGATTGTTGATATTATTGTGTTTGACAAGTACTGTATGTTGTGGTGTGTTATTTTGGAATGTGTGAATTTATTTCACATTAGTATCTATATACGTTTTTATTATTTTTCTCTGTACTGAATTTATGAACACTTCATTTTTAACCTGATAATCAATTTTCACAGCTAATCTTATAATCTGAAAGATGCTTAAAAATGTTAAAATTGAGTCTTAAGCTTTTGCAAGTGAAAGATGATTGAATGTGTCAAATTTAACTAAAATGAAACATTTCATGGAAAATTGAATTGTGGTATACAGAGGAAGTAATAACCTTTAATTAATTCACTCTACCTTTTTTTCCAAAAGAAAAAGAACAAAACCAAAAACCAGACTTTTAGTTCTGTTTAAAAAATATATAATCTTGTTTCCGTATCGAATGTGTTGGGAATCCATTTTGATTGTGAAACAAACATTGATTGTGAACTCACTTTTATTGTACTCATAGTAGACTGTGTAGTAGTCCATACATATCATCTGCTAAATATAACAATTTCTGCAAAGAATAGCATCAACGTTACAACAGTATGATTTTGTGTTATGTTCAGGAAACGTGAGAAGTATTTTTAAATAGTTTAATTCAATAAAAATAAATATATCTAAATCTAAATATATTTATATATATGTTGTACTTGAATGACGTTGAAAAGTCTGTCTATTTAAATTGAAGCAATTAATAGAGATGTAGGTTAGAACATTAGCTTCATTCATTAATTAATAAACAGTTCCTCTTTGTTCTGGCATAAAAAAAAAACAAAAACAAAAAACTTGAACAATATATACTGTACAGTATTTGCCTTCAAACCATAACAGTTTAAACTACCGTAGTACTTATTTTACTTCACTATCTATAGTTACTCGGTTCGCATGCTGTAAAAATAAAAAAAATACAACGTTTATGCAGCACAGGCCCAAAGCCTGGAGCCACAGTGATTTTAAGCCTCACCTTTAGCAGAGCAAAGCCAACACATTTTTTTTTCCCACTGCAAATGTATTATGTTACAGTTCCCCATCATCTCTTATAAAATTATAACCATGGCTTTACAACAAATAATATTAATAATAATAAACATGGTTATCCATGGTTACCACAAATAAACCATTTATAACCATTGTTTATCCATGGGTATTAGTGATAAAACTGTGGTTATACATATGGAAATTAATCCACCAAAAAAAAAAAAAAAAACATTTTTTATTGTATTTTATGACATGTTATATTTTCTTCCTTGTTATATCACTAACAAAAAAAAATACCAAAAATACATGGGAAATCCATGCTGTTGTACCACTAATTTGCCTTTACCTCTATACATTTCTGTATGAATGTATTCTCATTTATGTATTCTGTTTATTATTATTATTTGAATTCAACATCTTTAAATCAGTGTTGATA